AGCTGGTCGGTGGTTAAGAATCCCGGAGGTCTGAGGTATGGAAAGTACACTGGAACAGTGTAGAAGTATTCGACAACGCTATCAACTTCCACGAACACTGCAACATCTCAGTCCACCGTGGTGAGCCCCCAAACAACACCCAGTCAGCCCTGTCAAGTCCCTACAAGGGACACATGGTGACGGGAGGACGTTGGGGGGAGAAATGAGGACCGGATAATGTTCACTCCTGCAGAGATCTCCCGTAACGCTCCACATCAAGTCGAGAAGGGTGTCGGGAGAACTCAATTACAGAGGTCGTGTCTAACTGGACAAGGTAATGTGTGTGGTCACCGGTGTTAAGAATACCAAGATCAATGGTATCAACCACGTAAGCAATCATAGCTCCCACGAAATGGGTGACAGTGTCACCCAAAGAGTGTGCCGACCATTAAAATCACCTAGTATTAAAAATAGGGAGGGAGTAGACGGACCAAAGACAGAAGTTCCTCTTTGCCAACCGGTGAGTTAGGTCGAAGGTAGAGGGAACACAAAGTATCTGTGTGCCGCAGAGGACCCTGAACAGCACCTATCTGCAGGGGAGAGGTACTGTAATGCCAAAATGGTTCAAAGAAATACCCTGCGAGGTATCTATAAAAATAGCTGCGTCCCCATGATGACCCTGTGCTGGATCATGGGGGGAGTAAAAAGCAGAGTAACTCCTGGGAGAGGGATGGGAGTACGAGCCTACCATGGTCTTCTGTAGACAGACACAGACCGGCTGGAACCTGCGCAGGAGCAGTTGGAGCTCCTCCCAGTTTGTCCATAACCCAAAGAGATTCCCCTAAAGTAGATTGAACATTGTTACTACAGTACTCATGGGGCTCAGAAGTGCCCTCAGATGAGAGCCTCTCAGCACCCACTATACAGGTAACTCGCATTTTACGCGTGTTTGATGTAAGCGTGTTTGGAATACCCTGTAACGCAATTGTTCAATTAATACCAAAAGCTAATTTACGCACACCTACTTTTGAAATAACGCGGTCAAGACAATTTAAATTTGCCGAGCGTATTCCTCGTCGCCTGGCAGTGGAGTTGCGTGTGATGCCTGGTGAGGTGCTTGTAAGATATTACTATAAAGTCTCAGTCATATCAACGTCAACGATTTTAATATTATTATTAATAATAATAATTATTATAATAATGTACTGTAATAATAAAGATTATTACTACTAATGATGAAGATAATGATAATGAAGTACTCTGTACAACAACTGTGACCACGTCCAGCAAGCTTCCCGGGTATCACTTTCTCAGTTCACACCAGCACTACTTTTTTTCTGTGCTCTCATTTGCAATGTGTTTTTATCACGGACTTTTTTAGTGTTAAATGCTGTTTTGCCCATTGAACATGTCTGGAAAACGTCCATCTGCCTCCCCTGGAGTGCCTAAGCTAAAAGGGCACGAAAAACAATCGCAATAGACGTGAAATTAAATGTGATCACTCTCTTTCAGAGAGGAGAACGTGTGTCGGAGGTTGGCCTGGTTTAAGTGAGAGCACTGTTCATACCCTGTGCGGTATATGATGGTTCCCCTAACCTGTACCATTTACATGTATTCTTATGGGAAAATTATGTTTAATTTACGCATTTTTTAATTAAGTGGTGGTTTTCAAAAACGTAACCCCCGCATAAAATGAGAGGTGGGTGTATTCTTGTTCTGTCTGTAAGCAGCGGCAGCGGGCTTTGCTGAGGAGGAAGAGGGATCCGCCCTCTATGGGCCCATCACTTGCCCCACAACCAATGACTTGGTCAAGGGCTTGTCGGTTCTGGCAGTAGGAGGCCAAGGGCAGACTACTATATCCCGTGGAGGCAGAACCTTCAGGAATGACCTTGTAAGACCTGACTCTGGCAAGGGTGTGGCCTTAGTGGCCTGAACACCAGACGCATCTGGCAGAGAGAAAGCCGGAGGGTCCTGAAAACCGCAACTTGGGCGGTTGAGTCTCTTCAAGAGATCTCCCACTTCTGGACCGTTTCTGGTTCGACAAAGCATCAGGTGTAGTTGAAACGGGCTCCCTGAAACCTCCATGGGGGAGGTAGAGGGAGAAATAATTATAACAGCATCAGTTGAGGAAGACAAACAAGGAGCAGCAGAGGGAATAACAGTGCTTTGCCACAGCGAAGGAACAGCAGGACGTCGAGTAGGAAGGGAAGATACCATCAAGGCATAAGATACTCCTGGATGCACAAACCAGGAGAGCTTGACGCTTTGCCTTGAAAGCGTCGGCAAAGCTAACCTTTTCCTTGTTTCAAGTCCTGAGCATTTCCCACTTGGGATTGTAGCGGTCGTACTCCTTTGATGAGGCTGGGTGAGCCCCATGGCAGCTGGAATACAAGACAGGACTGGGACAGTTTTATCGCCATGGTCCGACTCACCACATGATATGACATAACATATGACACCCACTCACACCCACACCCTCCTCCCATTGGAAGACCGTTCTGCAAACTGCAACATGAGCAACTTATGTGCCCGAACTCCTGGCAGTGGAAGCAATGCCTAGGGTTGGACATGTATGGCTTCACCTGGAGGTGGAGCCAGGCCAATTTGACTGTTTCTGGCAAAATTAGCAGTTCAAATGTCAGCAACAGAGTAGAGGTTGGAACAAGGACACCATCAACCTTGCTTATAAAATGTTCTACTGTTACCACATCAGATGGATCAATTCTTGTATAATTTCTCTTCTGAAGGTCATGTGTTTGCTACACACGGCAAATGCGTGAGTCTTACTCCCTGGTCTGTGATGAACTGTGCCAGGGGAGGGTACACCATCCTCCTCTCAAGGGTCTTGGTGCACCTGGTAGCCATTTTGTCTTATCCCAGAAGGATGCAAGAGGATAAGATGATACAATGACTGTTTAAGGAGATATAAGGAAACCTATAACATGAGAGGGTAAGGCCATGATGTACTGTACAATACATTACAGAAGGCAGCCAGGCGGAAGATTATTCCTTTCTTGGCCGCCCACAACAGAGGGAACCTGCTTAGGGGAGTGAATTATTGCAGATATAAAAATACAAGACAGTTCTTACCATGTCAAGAGGAGTAAAAGATCAAATTAATGAAAAAAATAAATACTAATGAGTACTGTGCCTGGTATTTTAGTGATGACAACCAAAAAGTACATGATGATAAAAAAAGGAAATGTTTGTAGAATGAGGAGAAAAAGAGTTGATACAGAGTAAAGTGAAAGACTGAACATTGGTGAGAAGGGAAAGACAGCATGGATGTTTGTAGTAACAGCAATGCCCGAAACAAATTACTCCATGGGCCACTCTGCACCAGTAAGATTATTTTCATTGAACTACAATTGTCCATTAAATAATAAATAAATAAATTAAAACAAACGGTGATAACACTATGCCTTCATCATCAATAGAAGAAGGTCATAATCACCACACCCAATGTATGTATGTAGTATTAAAATAAATTAAGTATCTCAACTCATTGGGACAACATCTTTGAGTGAGGTATCCTATCAAGTACCTTTGGTAAATGGAGAAACAAATGAACTAAACATAAAATCCCTACTTCAATATCTTGAGTAATATCCATATGAAACAGTGAACCTCTCTTATACTTAGACTTTAAGTAAAAAGAGAAAAATAATATTGATTGGATGGTAAAGTGTGCTAAGAACTAGAGTATACATATTCTTATAAACTAACATGCACAGGGATTGTTGTGTCCCTTCAAGAAGTAGCCATGGATCAACCCTTACTTGCCAAGTTACACCTTATGAAGTCCATTTATTTCAAATAATCATATCTGGTGGTTCAGAATATATTTTCATTCATTTCTTCATTATTTCAATCTCATTATAGTTATATGGTAAATGAAGTTCTGTAGTTTGAAAAAGATAAAGCTTACCACAACAAATGAATAGTTCAACTTACACATGACATAAGATTACAGTATAATGAAAACTTGCTAGAGAGTAACACTGGAATGTTCAGGTGTGATCCAGAGCAAAACTGTGAGAGTCGAGCAGATACTTACATCAGCATAAGAGGGACTAGTGGGAGAGCTTATGTCCTGTGAAGGAAAGTAGGAATAGCGTTCAACAAAAACATAACACATCCAGCCATCTTACACACAACAATGCTGCAGTTTATCTTCTACTGATAATAAAGCAGACATCCGAAGCAGTCGAGAAAAAAATATTATTAAGTTAGAGGATAGTAGGAATATATTGGTTTAAAGCTACTTCAATACCAAGGTTAGGCTCATGTGCAGAGTACTAAGTACGCACATTCCTCGATCTGTACTGTACGGTTTTATGAATGAAAAAAATAAAAATTACTTACACACAATACAGTATAGTACTGTACATGACAAAAACTACAGTACGTATAATACAATTTGACCACTAAAGTTCACGTTGCACAGGTAATACACAGTGTTTTAGACTGAATAAATGCATATTTTTTTTAACAAGTCAGCCTAGGTGACCAAGAAGCTGTATACTGTACTAAAGTCTTAACTCTGTATTGCTTAAAATTGGTGGTTGTAAATCTATTTTTCTTTATTCATCATACCTCACTAATATTGACTTAGATGTCACAATTAATAGTTATCTTAATAAAGAAAAGCTCTTTCAATACCCATACTTCCTTTATCCAAACAGTTCCAAGAGTATTTAGATGAGAAAGTAGTCCATGTACTGTACAATGAATTACAATTACTGAAGCACAGTATATGATTAAAGATGTGTCCATTAGACACAAATCCCACAACCTAAACACTATATAACCCTAGCAAGGAAAGGGGTAATTACTGTGCTTCAAGCTCAGTAAAATATGGAGCATGTATCAATAAAACACTACACAGGATTTACCTCAAGATACAGTATTATACTTCTCCAAGACTACTGATTCCTTACTGCACTACAATTTCATTCATACTTGTCCACGAGCAATGTGACTCTACTGAACACTTAGCTATGAGCTATTATAACTCTAACCTTTTCCCCATCACAGATAATTGTCAATTCTTCAGCTTCACGACGATCTCGAGGATTACCCTGCAGTTGGGCAAGACATTTTCAACATGGTTCTCTATATATTATATATGTATAAAATAAAGGCAGTCTGTCCTAATACACATATACTGGACAACCTCAGTATATATATATATATATATATATATATATATATATATATATATATATATATATATATATATATATATATATATATATATATATATATATATATAATAACACACTAAAGCTAAGGTGCTCCGAGGACACTCATTGTGGATCTACATGTATATATATATATATATATATATATATATATATATATATATATATATATATATATATATATATATATATATATATATATATATATATATATATATATATATATATATATATATATATATCATCTGTGCTTTAGAACGAGTTACTAACATGGAGTACACTTGTGATGGAATTACTGTACAAGGTCATACTGTACCACTGTGATGAACAGTGGCTACATCTACATGTTAAGAAAACACTGGACCTCACATAATTTATCTGATAACTGTCCTCAAGAGACTCAACAACACTAGTGACATAAGCCAGCTGCCAAGTGAGCTACTATGATTCAATAACTTATAATAACCAGTATGCAATTCTGTCTTAACCTGTGAACTGATTATCTTCATCATATCCTCAAAACTACAACTATTCTTTGTCAGAGCCAAAAAATGCTATCTCTGAAAGACATGACAAGTCTCATCATCATAGGATATAAAGATGAGGTATCCTTGATTACAGTATTTAAAAGTTTACTGTCAGAGTCAACCAGATACCACTACTTATACCTTACTGTCAGTCTCAAGGTGATACACCGACTGTACTAGCCTTGTCTGACACCAACTTATCATCCTTTAAAGGCATGTACCCATACAGTATGCTTGAGATCCTCTCCATAGGAACAGTGTACACAGCTGCCATAACAAATTAATAGATATGCTCATAATTTACCACCCTTCATTGGTGTTAATCCTAACTAATGAAACATTTGTGGCAATACTAGTGGTCACATAACACTTCAAACTACCTTAAGACACAACCTTGTTATTCAGTAAGAGGAGTGTTGGGCTTATATAAAATTTAAGATACAAATGAGACTGTCTTAAGGTCCAAGATTAGACAAGTCTTCTACAACTTTAGCTGTAAAAAACAAATGTGGGATTTTTTGTGGTTATGATTTTTTTTTTATATAGTGGGACAAGTATCAGACAATGAAGGTTCATACAAAGAGGATTTAAAATTTATGGTTTTTAATGAACATAGTTATGGCCATTGATTTTAATGCATGCATAACTTATGGAGGCTGTACTGTAATTCCATATGAGGAATTTGTCACATTATAAATTTCCCTGTATGCCACTGATGTCATACCATCCTCTAAAAATAAAGCAGGCAGAGAATATACATAAAAGGAGTAATGATAAACATTTGTGACACAGAGAGATAAAGGTACACTCAGAGCCAAAGCTAGAGAGATTAAATCAACACCAATACAGCATAATGAAGTCTTGGAATCCATAAGGAAGTTAAGTGCATATGTATGTCTGTCTGTCTGTCTGTCTGTCTGTCTGTCTGTCTGTCTGTCTGTCTGTCTGTATGTATGTATGTATGTACAGTAAAGCCTCATTTAGTGCAATTTAGATATTGGGCAAGTGTCATCTTGGGGAATCAATCTTTTTATTTTTATTTTTTTACCAATAAAAATAAATACCACTTCTACAATTGATACAATTTTGTTAAATAAAGGCAATATAAAAAGTTCTATTGAAACAGCCATTGCAGTACTGTATAGTACTGGGGAATGCTTATAATAAATTAGAATACTTGTACTGTATCACTTTGTTTATATTATTAGTTTCTGTATACACCTGCTTAGCAACTTACTTCATTATACTCCAATACTCACAATGTTATTCGGTCTACAAATAAGGTTTCATTTTGTCATCATTCTCCTATAATCACTATATAACTGTCTCCTCAATCTCACTGGGGGACAAATAGTCAGTGAGCCAGTTGCCTGAATTTTCCTCCTCTCATTTTTTACGCAATATGTGGGAATTAAAATCTAAAAAAAAAATACTCTGTGATCTTTAATTTTAAATGCACCTAGAAGTCCTACATGTAATGCCTAGTTCTCACTCTGTAAATGTGGCTTGGTGACAGGAAGAGCTTCCAGCTATGAAAGTGACTGTTAATTTACCTGACAGCAACCGGAACACCATGTCATCGGGCAACCACGGTTAAACCATGCAAGCGTGGAAATGGCTGTAAAACAGTGATGGTGGTGATGATGCTAATTATGCAGAATAAATTGTGAAAAGTTGCAAGGGAAAGTTTGGAATGTGGAAGTGACAAAAAACTTGTGGGCGTGGAGACTGCCGGCAACTCACGGTAATTCTTGGTGCCACTCTCACAACACATTGAGGGTTTACTGCATCATATTTCTTCTCAGTGTTTTATAAAGATCAAATATATCATGTCCCTACACCTTGCTTTTGATGACTGTCAATCATTCATACATACAGTAGTATATTTTGTAATGTCATATATTTTTCTACATTTTTATTAAAAATAAATTTACACGGCCACCCCCTCGCAGGGGAGCTCTCTGGAAGAGCGAGGCATAGTAAATAATATGTATGTTTTATGGGTGTTAATTCTTTCAATATTTGCACAAAATAATAAATAAATACATGAATGTACAGTTTGTGTTTCTTACCTTAAATGAATTCAAAGATTTTATTGAATTTTCACCTATTTTATGGATTATAGTTAACACCAAAAATATTCATATATAGTACTTTCCCAGAAAGACAAAATTTATGCTTCTGGACTACTTCAGGCCTCACAACCACTACCCACCTCATTTTATTTGAATTTTTCCAGACTTATAATAGTGTATTTTATTTTTTAAATTTTAAAAACAATCTTTGTGTTTGTTATGTTCTTATCTAATAGTGTGTCCAAGTGTCAACTGTAGAAACTTTACTTACTTTCATCTGAAAATGTAATAATCTCAAAATAATATTTTCAGTTTTTAACAACTTAATGATATTTTTAGGCTGCTGACCATAAAATCATATGAAGAGCTGAAAGACTCAAGTCACTGGATTATTGAACCCAAACTGAAATAATGTTGGTCTGATTAAAATGGCCAGAGCATTGAACTTTCTGAAGACTGATATTAGATACATTGCCTGTATGATAATTAAACTCCCTGTATTATAATTAAATTACCGGTATGATAATTCAATGTCTGTCTTCTCTACCTACAATATTCCAATAAGTTATACCCTAACTTGGTCGTCACCCCATGCACATAGGAGTGGCAGTCTTAATAAATAGTAGACAAAAAGGTGGAAGACAGACAAGTTTTGTGCTGCTTAGGAACACTGATAGATCTTCCCCTACACCCCCACTGACTACACTACCCCCCACACTGACTGAACTACATCCCCCCACACTGACTGAACTACACCCCCCACACTATACAGTATTTCAAGATCTGATTCTCTCTGGCAATGACTTTGGTAATCACACATTGAAATCCCACAAACCATCATCACCCCCAGAGCAAGTAAGCTGTATTTCTCATGCATTTTCATCAGTAAAGCAATCATGTTTCTTGAAGACAAATGGGTTAACTTAGATTAAGACCGAAGGTGCTTTCAAAATTTAAATATTATGTTCCTGCTGTCCTTATATTCCTGTAATGGGTAAAACATACATATAACAAGTTACGAAATGGATAAAATAGCTTCATAATAATCTTAGTGATTTTAGTATTAGTTTTGAAATCAGTAAAGCCATTTAGAGGCAGTAAGTAGGCAACACTTCTCATGAGAAAAGCTCGAGTCAATCACTACACTGCTGTTTTGTTTCCATTCCCATCAAATGAAAAAAAAATGAATCCATTTATCAGTTCCAATTGTTGTTCCAACTTAGTTTCTCTTTATCAGTCATATACAATATAGAAATGGTGAAGATGAGCTGTACTGTATTACCATATTTTACCTCAACACTCACTAAGGCTAATACTGTACACTATCCCTTCAACACAAGAAGGTAAATAACAATAACACCGTTGGAAAAGCAAAAGGGTAACTGAATTGAAGTGAAGGATTGGACAAATGAATAAAATAGCCTGAAAAATAGGTAAAATAAACTCAAATAAACTTACGCTATCACTGCCAATACCCGATACACTCTGTGCGAATCTTTCTTTGGCTTTAAGGGCTCTGACTCTCTCATTACGAAGCCGCTCGTCATCCTGAAATATTATTAATGGTTATGAGAACTTTATAATCAATAAACATAAATGATTGGTAGTGGACCCATTACACCCATGACATGAGCTGGTAGTGGACCCATTACACCCATGATAAGAGCTGGTAGTGGACCCATTACACCCATGACATGAGCTGGTAGTGGACCCATTACACCCATGATAAGAGCTGGTAGTGGACCCATTACACCCATGACATGAGCTGGTAGTGGACCCATTACACCCATGATAAGAGCTTACACCCATGATAGCTGGTAGTGGAGACATGAGCTGGGTGGACCCATTACACCCATGATAAGACAGGACCATTACACCCATGACATGAGCTGGTAGTGGACCCATTACACCCATGATAAGAGCTGGTAGTGGACCCATTACACCCATGACATGAGCTGGCAGTGGACCCATTACACCCATGATAAGAGCTGGTAGTGGACCCATTACACCCATGACATGAGCTGGTAGTGGACCCATTACACCCATGACATGAGCTGGTAGTGGACCCATTACACCCATGATAAGAGCTGGTAGTGGACCCATTACACCATGACCTGGTAGTGGACCCACACCCATGACTGGTAGTGGACCCATTACACCCATGATAAGAGCTGGTGGTGGACCCATTACACCCATGACATGAGCTGGTAGTGGACCCATTACACCCATGATAAGAGCTGGACCCATTGGTACCCATTACACCCATGATGGAAGTGGACCCATTACACCCATGACGAGCTGGTAGTGGGACTGGTGGAAGTGGACCCATGCACCCATGACATGGACCCACACCCTGATGGACCCATTACACCATGATAGTGGACCCATGCTGAGCTGGTAGTGGACACCCATGATACCCACCCATGACATGAGCTGGTAGTGGACCCATTACACCATGGGAGCTGGTAGTGGACCCATTGGTAGTGGACCCATTACACCCATGACATGTGAGTGGACCCATTACACCCATGACTGGTGGACCCATTACACCCGATGAGCTGGTAGTGGACCCGTACACCCATGACATGAGCTGGGTGGACCCATTACACCCATGACATGAGCTGTTGGACCCGTACACCCATGACATGAGCTGGTGTGGACCCACCCATCAGTGGAGACAGAGCTGGCAGTGGACCCATCACACCCATGATAAGAGCTGGTAGTGGACCCATTACACCCATGATAAGAGCTGGTAGTGGACCCATTACACCCATGACATGAGCTGGTAGTGGACCCATTACACCCATGACATGAGCTGGTAGTGGACCCATTACACCCATGACATGGGCTGGTAGTGGACCCATTACACCCATGACACGAGATGGCAGCAGAGTTGGTGATATTTTTATTAAAAAAATAAAACAAAATAAAATAAATTATTTTTTTATTAATTCAATTTTTTTATTTCTATATTTCTTCTAGTACAGTATACTGAACACTGTTCATGTCCCGTCTGTCCACTGTTGGTTCAGAGACTCCAGACTGAGTTGCCATCCATGACATAGTCTCTGGAAGCAGTCTGACATCCACATACAAGGGCTGGAAAAAGCTCTTCATGCAGGGTTTTCAGCACACTGAACACTTAACTTCTTCCTATTGACCAAGGCGGCCACAGCACCTCTAACTTCTAACCTTATTGGGGATCAAGCAACTCTAAACAAGAAACCACCATGTCCAAGACCAATATACTACTGAAGTGCCAGGAAAACAGTTGTACAGTATAGTCTGGATTTACGCGGTTTTTGTTTACGCGTTTGGTCATTTACGCGGTGCCTTGCCAGAATGAAATGTTTTAATTACGCGGTAAATTTCATCATTTACGCGGGAAGCGGCGCAGGCAGGATGCGCACAAGGTTGCCCAGTCATCAAAACATTACCGAGTTCTTCACCCGCCACCCACCACAGCCGGCCTAAGTGAGTGATAGTGAGGATATGGACTTATATGGACTTTGAGGGGTTTGACAAAGAGACCCTGCAAGCCTCTGTGGTGGATAGTGATACAATTGATACAAGTGATACAGGTGAGGGCCAATAATCTGCCCTCTGCCTCGGAACCAACCCCCCATCCCCGTGTGCCCAGCCATCTTTTCTACTAACTAAGTGTTATAAAACCTAATATTACTGATATTTCTCTTAAATATTAATTGTGTGTGCATACCATCATAAAATTAAGATGTTATTTTTACTACAACGTACGTATTGTGTCGGAAAAAGTGGAGTTTGGGAGTCTGCCCAGTCTCTATTTCAATTAATCCCATATGTTCTGTTATTTCGTTTACGAGTTTTTCGTTTTACGCGGACCTCCACGGGTTCAATTGACCGCGTAAATGCAGACTATACTGTACATGGAGAATGGCATTGTGTGCAAACTGAAATTCTACTTTTAGGACATGTAAATTTGTCCTATGACCAAGAAATCAGCAGTAAACTTTCACTCCTTGGGAAAAGGGACCAGTTCAGTATCATCTTCATCGAGAGTGGAAACTGAAATAAGTATTCAAATCCAAAATATTATTCGGATTTTCAACCCAATGATCCCTAATTCAACTGGAAAATTATTCTCTCTAATTGTTATGTTCATGAGTCAGTGAAAAATCATCTTAACGAGTATAGAAACCATAATTGAGGCACTCTGGGTAAGAGGGACGAATCAACTACCTAAATTAAAAGGAGCTGATGAGAAAAAAAAGGTCTGAAAATTCACAAAATACAAAATTTCCTATTATTTGAGACCAGTTTCATTCATTTCATATGTGTGTGTTACAGAGATACACACAATCTAATGTGAGCGAAACAAAACCGCTCGTACTTGTACAGTATATTGAAACATAATCTTGGTTTCTTTGCTCCTCTTACCCCCATGGCCTCAATTGCATTCTAAATGAAGGCGATCTTGACCTTAAGACCAAGAGACCTCAAAATCAAGAAAAACTTCTTTGCCATGCATCAGTGTTAGGAAATGTGAGTTACAGTCCAGAAATCAAAATTACAATGACTTTGACCCAATGATCTCACTGTTTCCAAAGCCAATATAGATCTTCCTCTCCCTATGGACCAGGTAATTGAGCAATACTTTGTTTGCTGATGCATGAAAATTAGAGCTATGATTCAGAGACCACAATTTTCATTCTCAACATAAACAATCATGACTTCTGATCCAGTGACCCTGAAAGGAACAGAAGTTTTCCTCTCCCTACAGGCAGAACATAAAATATTCCACAAATCATTACATCGAGATATTTGTTTTAATATTGTTTTACTTTGATTCCATAGAATGTTTACTACTGTGGGTTTCCTTCTGCCAAATGTAAACAAACACAAGGCTGCCGCACTGCATAAAACCTGACGAGCCCCTGTAAACACACTAGTGAAGGGGATTGTACATAACCTAATCCTCATCTGTGCAAGGAAACTCCAGTTATAGTTCGGATACCAAAAAGATAACTGACCGACAACACCTGCCATAATACGCTCCACAAATTGCAAGCGAAAAAGAAATTTCAGGAAGCTAAATAAAATCAAAGTAGACTCACCTTCAGAAGTGTGACAAGGGCTTTGGCTTTTTCCCGAACATTCATTCCTTGATCCTTATTTTCTTCTACATACTGGAAGTCCTTCAGAGTTTGGATAGCAAATATATTTTCTTTACACTGATCTGCAACCTGTATAAGAAAAATAAAAACAAAAAGAATAAGAAAATTGTCAATGTAAAGGATTCATTTTAATAATTTATAAAGTATTTATATTGCTTTAATCATTTTCTACACTCAGGGTGGAATGGTGCATAAAGAATCTATGTTCAAAATCCAGGCAGCTGATCAGTACAGTACCTGTTTCAGAGCAGGAAAAGGTTTGAATGCATGAAATAATATATAACCAAAGAGAACACATTATATAATTTATTACTAATCCACTGTGTTCATGTGACTCACTTAAGTAATCAATAACTTCTTGTACTTAGGGGGAGGGAGGAGAGTAAAGTTCAAGCAAGAATGGCTCCAGGTATAAATGATGATGTAATTTTGCTCTACATCAAGTTGAAAGGTAAACTTAGGGCACATCAGTTTAATAGCTACAATTTCCAGACATAACAATGAGGGATTTCACTATTCCTGGAAGGTAAGTTTAAGTCAAGCAGAATTTAATTACTTAGATAAATAAAACTAGTCAGCCTCTGTTCACTGTTCAACTACCAGGTTACAGTATAGTTTGCATTTACGCGGATTTTGTTTCCGAGTTTGGTCATTTACGCGGCACCTTGCCAGAATGAAAATTTTGAATTACACGGGTCATTGCATCATTTACGTGGGAAGCGGCGCGGGCATTGTGCGCATTAGGTCGCTCTTACGTTATCGGTGACGTCATATGACGTATAGGACTGTGATAGGGCCACGCATCCTTACCACCCACGCATTTCCTCCGCCGCTAGCTGTGATTGGTCTAATGTAACATGACGTGCCCTGCCACCAAGAAGTCGCTGACCTAGCCGGGCCAGTCTCATTGTTCTCAGTCCTCGTATACAGTTCTCTCTTATGCCCGCTATTCCCCTCACAATGGCTTCCGCTGGACCCCCACCACCCGAGAAAAACCTTGAATTACCTGGAACAAGCCATGATTGTGTGAAGGCAACCATCGAGTTGGGGGAGAAAATCAAGCTCGTCCTTGACAAAGACCCAGTCAATCATCGGTATGAAGTGTCTAATAATCTTCTGTCGAAAATTATGGAGCCGTATATCCAAATCTATCACGACAACATCAATGCTAGTCGTCAACGTAGTATTACTGACTTCTTCGCCCGCAGCCCACCACAACCACAGCCAGCCCAAGTCAGTGATAGTGACAGTGAGGATATGGACTTTGAGGGGTTTGTCAGGGAGGCCCTGCAAACCTCTGCAAGAAGTGAAAGTGATTCACCGAAGGGCCACTAATCTGCCCTCAGCCTCAGAACCAGCCGCCATACACGTGTGCCGACCCATCTCTTCTAGTAACGTAAGTGTTAAACATCTTTAGATTTGTAGTTTTTTATTTAGATATTATGTGTGTATCAATACCATCATAAAATTATAATGTTATTTTTACTACAACGTACGTATTGTGTCGGAAAAAGTGGAGTTTGGGAGTCGGCCCAGTCTCTATTTCAATTAATCCCATATGTTCTGTTATTTCGTTTACGCATTTCTCGTTTTACGCAGACCTCCACGGGTTCAATTGACCGCATAAATCCAGACTATACTGTACAGTATTACCCCGCTTTACGCGGTTTCACTTTCCGCGATTTCTAATTTACGTGGTGCCTCGCCAGAACCGAACTTTCACTTTCCGAGGTGCATCTACTCATATACGCGGGAAGCGGCGCGGGCAGGATGCGCACAAGGTCGCCCAGTCATCAAAACATTACCGAGTTCTTCACCCGCCACCCACCACAGCAGGCCTAAGTCAGTGATAGTGAGGATATGGACTTATATGGACTTTGAGGGGTTTGACAAAGAGGCCCTGCAAGCCTCTGTGGTGGATAGTGATACAATTGATACAAGTGATACAGGTGAGGGCCAATAATCTGCCCTTTGTCTCGGAACCAACCCCCCATCCCCGTGTGCCCAGCCATCTTTTCTACTAATGTAAGTGTTAAAAAAACTAATATTATTGATATTTCTCTTAATTATTAATTGTGAGCGCATACCATCATAAAATTAAGACGTAATTTTTACTACAACGTAGGTATTGCGTCTCAAAAAGTGGAGTTTGGGGGTCGGGCCAGTCACTATTGGAATTAATCACCTATGTTCTGTTGTTCACTTTACGCGGTTTTCACTTTCCGCGGTACCCTGTGGGTTCAACTGACCGCGTAAATCGGGGTACTACTGTATATAAAGTTTGAAAAGAAATGAAATCCCATTTTATGAGTGAGGAGAGTGAGAGACAGAGTTGCTAATAAAGGTACTCTGTATATGGAGAACCAAGAAATCAAGGATGAAAATACAATATTTAGGGGAAAAAAAGTATGATTGAAGATTCAAGGCTTTATTGAAAATCACTGATATAGTTAAGAGTAATACAGTATATACAAGCATTACCTTAATGTGTGTTCTTAAGCAAGTAATCCTACATCAACAGCCATTTTCAGTCGCTCAGGAGCTAGGTGAACACATTCGGGAGATAGCTTCCACACATGATGGGCTTATTAAATACCTTTCCGAGGCCTCTCACACCAGTCATACGCATCGCCTACCTCCCAAACGGCTGAGAAATAGCTGGATGTGTTATACAAGTCGCAGTTTAAAGCTTCCTCATAAAACTGAGAACATCTAATAAAGAATATATTCTATATTTTTTTTCACATAAGCCATCTGTAAAAACTCAAGAGAAAACAAAACTTTTCAAAACCAGTTCCTCTGAACAGCCTGGGTTTAGAATTCTAAAAACATTTTGCAGAAATAAGGGATTGATTCTGAAATCCCTTAGTCTAAGAAAGCCCTTACCTACAATCTCTCAGGTATGATGACAACCCACTGAGTTCATTGTTATTGCACTTAAGGAAATATGTCATCAATTCCATTACAGTATATGTGATTGTACTAAAGGGATTTAGTCCTTATTCTTAAGAGGCAAAACATGTTACTCAATGGGGTAATTCTGTATGCTCAGGTGGCATCATAACCAAGGATTAAGATGTGGTCAGGCTGGGAGCATACAATTCAGGTGTCACAAAGAGCATGTACAGTAGCTAAAACAACTATCTGTGTATACTTTGCAGGAGACAATATGAGACCATGGATGATAAATTTTGGTACATGAGGGCGGTCACTAGTCACACGTAAAATTTCGGAGCATAGTGACCCCCACCTGCACAGATAGTTGTTTTAGCTACTGTACAGTCCCCCCCAAAAATATCCTTGGCCATGGGTTCAATGTGATTCGAGGCTTTTCAAGCAAAGTTTCTCGACTCGTTTCTGAACGGTTGGTAGTTCTACATTCGTGACCTTTGAGCATGAATGAGTATATACATTTTTGAACGATATGAATCCCCCGAGGCTTCAGATCATACATTACATGACAGTTTTCACAGGATCTTACATCGAATGGAGCGAGAAATTACTGGGGAGGCATCACAAGATGTAAGAGGTGCTATCGTTGCCTTTCACAACAAAAGTATACATAACGCTGAGATAGCACGGCAAACTGGGATGAGCGACCCCACAGAATCATGATGGGTTAAGCACCATGAAACAACTGCTGGCACACTGAAACTTAAACCCACAAATGTCTTACTATACTGTAGGTGGATGGATGATTCCGTTGCCTGCAAGTCCCGATAAGAACCCTTATTTCGGTGTTGTACCAATGTAATTTACTTATCAATAACATGGCAGATCCCATGTAGACCAATATATTGTCACTCTTCATAAATCAGACATATCATGAACAACATGAGTAAGTATATTGTGAAACTCGGTACGAATGAACTCTGTTAGTACAGCAACAATGGTGAAATGTTTGTTTTGACATGGTCTCAGTCCCAGTTATGATGTTCTGATACATTCCCAATTAATATATATTTCAGTATTATTGTAATCATCGGTCAGTGGCTTGTTTACATATGCCTTGCTTCTAACCAGCACGATACATACATTAATATAGCTCAATGGATTTTATATTCTATTGAAGTACAGTAAGTCCTTGCTCAACGTCGGGGTCACGTTCCTAAAAATGCGACGTTATACGAAACAACGTTAAGCGGATCAATTTTCCCCATAAGAAATAGATAAAATACGGGAGTTGAGTTCCTGAGCCTCCCTTTGCCCCATGAAATACATTATATATACAGAAAATCATTGCCATTTCTATAGAAAATAATGCATACATATACAGTGACCCCTCGTTTAACGAACGCCTCGATTAACGAAATTTCGGTTAACGAACTGCCTTCCATAAGGATCTTCAATTCGGTTAACGAACAAAAATTCAGTTAACGAATTTCTTACGAACCGACCTCAACATGTTTTCGCTTGCACTGGCCGGGCAACCAGCTTTAGTATCAGTCCGCCAATACAGTAATTGGTTTTAGGGCTTAAATTCCTTACTATTTTAGTAAATATCAAGAAGTTTATACTATTCAATAATTTTAAAAGTTCAATATTCAATTTTTTTAGTCATTTTAACAATTACTGAACATAATTGATGGTAAAGAAACTAGTTTCTGGCGTGCCATCCAGCCTGTTAACACACCAGACAGGCGTTAGTCTCTCTCTGTTGTCAGTGGAGGTAACATCTTGCTTGAGACTCTCTTCAACTAAACGCTTTTTTTCTGTGTTTCCAAGCAAATTATTGGTCATTTTGAAATATATTTTACATATTGACAATATATAATGCAGTGCAGTGTTGATTTAAAGAAAATAATCTTGAAATACACCAAGAGAACTAAAATTTTATGGGTGAAATGGTGCCATGGGGTGACTTCTCTTCCACCCCAATGCCTTCTCTTCTTCCTTCTCCTCCACCCCCATTCTTATTCACATCATCATCATCATCCAGGAGCCTTCTACATACACACCTCAAAGTAAGTGAACTTTTCTACCATTTTTGTTGAATTAAGGAAATTTTCGGTGAGCTGGAACCAATTACCCAAAAACTAATTGAAACAATGGTTTCGGTTAACGAACTT